AACAATGCTTGTCTTGAAGTCTATTTTGGTCTGATGTTAATATAGCTTTTACATGCTTATTGTTTGCAGAGTATATCTTTTTCCATCTTTTCATTTCAATCTATTAGTGCCTTTATATTTACTATTTTTTCTGGAGAACCCCAAAACATGTAAGACCTAGCTCCTGACCTTTGACCTGTTGATGCCTTGACAGGGCATCATACAGAATCAGGGAAATCTTATGTTCTCTGCATTAAATATTTTATATTTATTAAAGTCCAAATGCCAGTGGATTGTTTTTTAGGTCTAGCTTAATTTCTTTCAGGTCTCAACCTTGTGTGTCTTTACTAATAGGCAGCCAAACAGTTAGCAATGTTGATTTGGGTAGTGCTAGATACTGGAGATGTAGTGTTATAAGGGGTAAAGCTAATCAAAGGCCATAAAGGGGCCATTATAGGAGAGTGTGAAGATTGCAACGCCCTGTGCATAGGAGCCCAGCCACATGTGGACTCATCTCCTCTGGGGTCTGTCCTTTCTGCCTCCTTACTGAGATTTCTTTTTCTAGCCCTCTCTGAGCGAATGAATGGATGGAGAAACACTCCCATTATTTCAGTGTTTTCTGATTTGTCTAGTTCCCAGAACTCTGTTCCAAGAATGTCTGAACTTGATCAGGACCATAAGATGATTATGTTCTCACTACAAGTGCATTGTGAACTAAATGTATCAGGTTGGCAACCTAGATCAATAGCCTTCATTCTTTTTCTTTTTTTTTTTCTTGTAAGGAAGTTCCCTTTGGCAGAGGCCATTAACGGATATTCTATCCATTAGAACTCAGCATACGGTTTTCTGGGCTTGTCTACTGGACAAAATTAGCCCCAACTCATTACTAATTTGGCTCAAGAAGAAATAACTCCTTTTTTATTTTTAATACATCATGATAGTGTTTATTTTTTTTTTTTCATTTAAAAGGTCTTTAGGAACATGATAGTGTTTAAAAACCAAAACTAAATAGTGATTTCCCCCAACACACATTCAAGGCACCTCTATATTATTTTCAAGCCTTTCTTCTTGCTACAAACAAATCAACACAGGCAAGCAAAAGTAGCCTAATAAATCTATCACAATTTCATATATCAGGACTCTTGGAGAGCCAATATATTTTGGTTTTCTCCCAAGTTTTGTTTTGTTTTGTTTTTTCCTGTGAGCTTGTTTTATAACAAATAAAAAACATTTGAAACATTTTCTTCCCAAAGTGCTTCTCCACAAGTGTCTTTCCTAAATAGTATATAAAGCATATTGTATATACTTATAGCATAAGTATATAGTATATAGTATTTAGGAAAGATAACAGTTTGGCTAATTGATAAAGCCAACTTCCACTTTATTTAATATGCAAGCCTAGGTGTTGAAGCCCTGATGGACTAATTGAGGTCATTTAAGAAAACCATCTAAGAAAGGGACTCCTTCTTATATATGCCCAGTGATATTTTGGAATACTATTGTCAAGAAATACAAGCAATCCCTGAAACTTTTTCCCTCTGGGTTATCAGAGTCTGAGACAATTGATGACATTACATCGGTCGTTCATTTTAGATTCGTGGAGCCCACAAAAATCAATAGTTTTCCATTATCAGGTCCAGCTGGGTCACTAGTCTGTCAATGAGCTGTTACAATTGCTGTACAGGGGTGAGCCTGACCAGTCAATTGCTGCTGACAAGAGGAAAACATGCTGACAGCCACGGGAACAAGTCAGAACACAGATTTGCACTTCAGTTTACCATCCAAAGAGACTCAGAGCAAGGCCATTTTCAAGACACAGGGCACACTCCTTGGGAGGCCAGGGGGAGGGGGGTTCTCCCCCCTGGGTTTCATAGCTTAAGTGCCTAAGGGGCTGTGCTGGCTCCAGCCAACAATCTCTTGTAGAGACTATCTGTAGTCTCTGCCTACAGACAGTCTGTAGTAAGAGGGCATGTACCCGCCAGAATTGTACCTAAACACACCACATCGTAGCCAGAGCGAGATTAGGAGAAAGGAATCCTATTTTTACCACCACTGACCTAGAAGAAACTACCTATCTGGGGAAATATTAAAACTTAAAGAGGAAGAAAATGGGCCAAAGGCACCAAATCTGAAGGAATGTGTCTAAACATGTTGCAAATCAGTATTGACTGAGGACAGAAGGTCCTCCAGCATTGGTACGTAGGCTGTTCCCTTGTTGCTTCATTATTTATAATATCACATTATCTGTACTTGGGTCCCAATATGATCTGTTTAACCAAAGTAAGCATCCCTGTTTGGTCTCTGGTCCACAGCCCTCTGTCTGAGGCAGTGGGCCACAAGGGGACCTGAGATTGAGTCCGCCCTGCCCATAATTAGGAAGTGGGGAGTATAGAGTGTTGAGTGTGGACAAGTATCTTAACTGCTCGCTCCACATTAATAAAATGGAAGCATGCTTGCCTTACCTATATTACAAGGTTATTATGAGATTGGAAATGAGATCAATTGAGAGTAAATTCTGTCCAAGGGAAGGACTCTGCGTGTGTGTGCGCGCGCGTGTTTGTGTATGTATTTGTGTGACTCTTGCTTGCTGGAAACTATCCATGCAGTAAGAAGTTTGGAAACAACCAAAAGAAGTCCTGCTCCAGAATAATTTGTTTTTGGTCTAACCTGAATGCTGTCCTTCATTAGTTGAATACATGAATAATCTCTAAAGGCTGTCATGAGTGAAAGCCAGAATTTAGAGGACATCTCAGAAGTCTTAATGGGTTTTATGGCTCTCCTTAATTTATAGAGAAGACAATTTGGATGCTAGCAGAGTGGACACACGCTGTCTGGGGCTTCTGAAGCGTTGTGAATTTATGCAGTGCTCTGGTCTCACACTGGTTTGATTTCAGACATCAAACTTAAGAGCTCAAAAGATAAATATTTTTAATTTATTTCAATATTATGATTTTTAATGTTCCACTTTTATTAACATCTTTTAAGTATTAAATTATAGTTTTTTTTTCCCCCAGTGCCTCTAGTCTTGGATTTTAATCTTTTGGAAGTCAACATTCACTTGTGTTCCACCATCAAAGCTGGTAATCAACTGTATAACTGGAAGCCAACTAGCTAGGGCTTTTTTTTTAAGTACTACCAAAAAAATCATTTTCTTTAAATGAGTAAAAAAAAAGTAGTTTTAACAAGAGCAAATTTGCTAGTAATTAGATGAACCAGTCTTATGTCTTCCAGCACTTGGAAGCATGAAATTCATCAGAACTCTCATAGCATTAATTAAAAAGAATTTATGTTTTTTTAATAAAATGCTTCTTGTTTTAGCTCCTTTATTCCTCCACCAAATGTGATTATATGGGGGCTGAAGGGAATTCAGGTTAATATGTTGACACACTTAACAATGCAGGGTCATGTTGCACAATACGCTTCACTGGTTTGGTTCAGTACACCCCCTGACAGGGCCTAATCATTCCCTGCCCTAAAGGCAGAGGGAAAGAGAGGATTTTAATTACTGCTCTGTATGCAAGTTTGCCAGCATTAAATTGAGACATAATTAGGCCTCTGAATTTTAATAATTGTCCTAGCTAATTGGGCATACAAGTACGTTATGCAGCATGCCGTGATTAGATAATTAGTATTTCCAAATGACAAAATTGGGCTCTTGATTACAAATTCTACATGAAGGGGGAAAAAGGTAGCAAGCAAATCTTTACAAGTCTATTAAGGGAGAGTTTAGCGATGTTGGTAATTTAAAGTCCATTAGGAAGCAACATTTCATTCTCAAAGCTGGGTATCTGGGACAAGGGCCTCTGGCCTACTCTGGCTCCCACAAAGACTCCTCCCCAGGGGGCTGTGCTTTCTCTGGGGTCTGCTCCATACACCCTCTCCTCCCACCCCTAAGCTTAGCAGCCATCACTGACCTTGGGTGAGGTCTCTTTGGCTTGATGGCAGGTGATAACTCTGAAAAAGAGATCTCGGGATGTAGGAAGGGTAGAACAGAGAAGAGGTAATCTACCCAGACAGGAGGGAGTGTATAAGTAGCCATTGTGGCTTTCTCTTGCAAACAGCTGTTCTTTCAATTTTCTCTCAGAAGTCACCACTCTCATTATCATCAACTGCACTAAAATTTTTTGTGGAAAAAATCTTAAATCTAAATCTTAAGTTTCTGAAGTATTACATTATTGGGGTGAAGAGTGTGGGCACTGGAGACTGACCTGGATTTGAGGTCATCATTTACTAGGAGTGTGACCTTGGATAAATTACTTAATCTTTCCAAGTCTCAGTTTTCTTATTAGCAAAATGAAAAACCTGTCCCATTAAGACTGTTGAAAGAATTAAATCATACATATACAGACAGTGCAGACTTATGATGGGTTGGCTTACGATTTTTAGACTCTATGATGGTGCCAAATCTCTTTGACTGATGATGGCACCACGTTCAGACAAGCCCATCACAAATCAAAAATACTCAATTTCTACTTAAGATAGTTTAAATTTGTGATGGGTTTCTTGGGACAACCCCATCATAAGTTAAGGTACACGTGTAATTTAAAACACAGTGCCTAACATGGAGTAAGTGCTCAATAAATCTTAGCTATTTAAGGCAAAATTAAATCAATAATATGGGAAGGTACAAGGTAGAGGTGCCAGATCTGGCTCTTTGCCATGCCAGTCCTCAAATGAAGCAAGGGTCTCTAGCCCCATTGCTTTCTGAGAGAGGAACGTGCATGGTACCCTATTTATGCTGAGGGCAGCCCAATGGCAACAGCTGCTCCTACAACTCAAATGCCCAATCAGATTTCCTTTCTGCCTATTTTTCTACAAGGGTTGGCATTACAGACAAACCCTGCCATGCATAAGTCACCGGACAGTTAACCCAAGAAGAATGTGGTATAAATTCTGCATCTTACCCTCACACCTTGTGATTCTCTCTGCACCAATATCACTTTATTACCAGAAAAGCATACTTCTAGCTGCTAAATTTTTCTCACAATCAATATTCACTAGGCGAGGCTAGTGAATTTAGAGTTGTATTTTTCAGGCAAAAGAAATATTAATGGCATGCAAACCAGAACTCTTCTAAAAAATGATTGATAGGCGGTTCATGGATGACTATCTGGTGAAAGTTTGTTTAGAGGAAAAGTTCAGGAGCTCTGGATGCACACTCCTAACCATAGAGGATGACTATAAGAAAAATAACAATGTTTCCATGGCTGGGTCCAGTCAACAAAGCCTACCAGCCTGAATCAGCATTTCTTATGACTTTCTTACAAATTTGTGGCACTTATGAATGATGGAAGAGTTCTGTTGGAGATTCCAATTCAGAATGCAGAGTTCTCCCTGTGAGTGAACTTCCTATCACCCTGACATAATCTCTACACAACATTATCACTTACATAGTGAGACAGAAGGTCACCGCCTTGAAACCTGAGGAAGAAGAGAAGAGACATGATTAAGTATAGATTGCAAACATTCTGCTGGAAGCTTAGAAGTTTGGAGTAAGATACTACTCTCCTAGATGGGAAGGAAAATAGAAAAGCTGAGTGATCCTGACGCCTGATCTGTATTTACACAATAAGGACACCTCTCCTCTGGGGCTGCGAGTGTCCCCGTGGTTCACAGGGACGCTGCTCACAGGGTCACGCGTGGCCAAGGGAGTGGGCTCAGAGCTCCGGCCTTCGCCGCACTTCCGGGTTGCCAAGCCGTCACTGGGTGGGGGAAAACTGCCAGGAGGATGCTTTCCCCGCCACACAATGCTGCGCTGCTCTCCCTCTCTTTTTGAAGAAGTGCGTTTATGACTGATCGCTCAACACCTTGTTGGTTCTGATTGCAGAAAACACACCTTATAAATATATGATAACCATCCTGTAATAGAGAGTGTGACAATTTACTTCACAGTGCGTTTCGGGCTGCTAATTGATCGTTTCAGTCCAGGGACGATTTGGAATAAATTATAGCCATCAAAAGGATATCACAGCTCATTTTGGTGGAAGAGTTTCCACGTCGCTTCGCGTTATCTCCGGGAGACAGCGGATGGCACCCGGCGGGCGGAGGGGAGGGACGGAGGGGCAGGGGAAGGGGGCAGGGGAAGGGGGCCGGGGCGGGGCGGGCGCCGGCGCGGCTGCAGGTCCGCGGCCGGGCGGTAGAGGCCTCCCTTCCCAGGAGGCGGCGCCCGGGAGGCGCGGGCGCGGCGGGCTGGGGCTCGGCTCCCCGGCGCGGACCCGCGCGTCCTCCCCAGCGGAGTCTCGGCGCGGCCGGGCCCAGCGTGAGTATCCTCCGCCCGCTGTCTTCCCCCTGCAGGCGGCGTCGCCCGTTTCTGTGAGGTGAGAGTCTCCTTCGGGCAGAGGGCCCTGCTTGGGGGCGGGCGTGCTCGCGTGCGCGGGGTCTCACCGCCTGCTCCAGGCGTCCCCTCGCCGGGCTTCTCCGCGGGGCGGGCGCGGAGACCCGGGCGCTGCTCTCTGCGCTCCAGGGGCTGGGGGCAGCGAGGTGTGGAGGCGGCGTGGCCCCACTGGGGGCTCTGTGCGCACTTGGGGGCCGCGGCTTGGGTACCTCTGCCTCTCACGCGCGATCGGGCAGGGGGTTCGTGGAGAGACCCAGCCTGGGAGCGAGCTGTGCCCACCGCAAGCCCCGGGAGACGGCGGGCCCGGTGGGTCGCGCCACGAGGCGGTGCCCGGGCTGCCCGGCTCGGGGTCGCGAGGGCACTGGGTCATGCGCTGTGGAACGCGGCGCGGCGAGAGCTACGGCTCCTGAGCCCGGAGCGCTTCGCCAAGGCCAAGCCCAGGTGGCTGCACCCCGGCCCACCCCTCAGCCGGGTCTGGGCCCCAGCCCATCTCTCCGACCCCTCGCCTCGGTTCCAGCTTCCAGCAAAAGTGTGTGTGCCACTGTGTGGTGGTCATGGAGTAGGGGGACCCAAAGGCCTATGGCTGGATGGGATCCGAATTTGAAAAAAATATTTTCCTACTCCTGTCGCGAGTCCTTACCTATCTGGGCGCTTCCAGTTCCGCCCAGGAGACCTCCAGGCAACTTTCATTCTCTTAAATTAAAACAGGAGGAAGATTCAGGCCCTCCAGCACCCGCATAGCGAACTCCGGGGTCCCCAGTGCTCAAAGCCTGCCTTGGCACGGTGTTGTGTTTTAGTCTAATAACACGCTAATACGTTATGTCAATCTAGGGCAGGGATCCTTCCGTGCAGGCGATTTTGACAACAATCATCATACCAAGCTATTATGAAGTGTGATGTCAGTGCTTTCTGGGAGGGCGGATAATATATAAACCAGTTCTTGACACGGTATCTTACAGGGAAACATCTGAGGCCATCAGTAAGAGGCATTTTAATTCGCATACTAAAAAGATTTTGTTTGGTTAACATCTTTCAAATGCCGAAAGAGGTAGTAGCCTTTACCATTTTGTAAGTATCTATCAATGCACTCAGAAAGGCCCCATAGGGAAGAGAAGGGTTTTGTCTTAATTCTATTCTATCATAAACTGAGGAACCTACCAAAAAGCCCAAATAAGTCAGCGAGAGAGCTCTATTTATGAGACCAAACATTTTCTAAAACTGGAATAATTGGAAAAATCAAGTCCAAATCTAAACAAATGCTTTAGGATTAACACTATATGATAGCCAAAAGCTGTATTTAGGTCGGCCAAATCCTTTGGGAGGCTACACTATGGGAGTGATGACCTAAGCTACAGTTTTCTTTTCTTCCATCCATCCAGTAAGTATTTATTCATTATTATAGGTCCCCTACTTCACTTTGCCATTAAACATGATCCCTATAGCCATTTAATAAATAATTGTTGAAATGTAACTAAAATATGTATATTTTCTCCTGGCTCCAAGGAACATTATTATGAAAGTTTTAACAACTGTGGCCTTTCATTCATACAAATGGAAAATTGTATTGACTACCTTCAAGTAGTAAGTCAAGGGAAGAAAATAAATTAGGAATCAGAAAGTTTTCTCTAGCTTGTGCCCTTTTCACAAAACATGTTTTTTTTTTTTTCTTCTTTCCTTAAAACACTTCAGAGTTGGAAGAACTTACATGATTGAAGGGGCTTATGATATTCTTTGAATTATTTTGGAATGCAAAGTTTTCCTCAAAAGGCCTTGCTCCTTATATGATATGCTGGACTGGCTGGTTTCATGTAAGTGAAAGCACTGTATTTTTATTTAAAATCAAAACCACATACAGTACCTTTTCTCCCCAACCTGAAGAATTGCCTACAATTAAGTAAATAAAACACATCCCAAGTAGTCATGCATACACTGGCTGAAATTAATTGGTTTAGTAAAAATAGAAAAACATACCCAATATGTTTGTCCCAATCATTTATAGTTTTAATTTTTCTTAGATAATGCTTGAAATCATTCAGAACACTACCTAGGTCCTTAAATACCAAAACATTTTATGTGAAATCTGCAAGATATACCTAAAGGATGTAAAATTTTGTGACGTGAAATAATAGAAGCCATTATGTTAGGAATAACTTTGTCCCTAACCCTAAAATTGCACTGTAGGGCTGAAACTATATAACCAAGATATGACTATAAACTAATGTCTGTGTTTCAACAACTAAACCAGAACTTACACACACATTTTAGTGTGTCCTCATCAATCTAGTCATTTTGGAAGGCTGTCCCTTATTGCATTAGTTCTTCCATTGCTGCCATTGCTCAAACCTTTTTTGAAGCTCCTCACTGGGCAATGCTTTCAGAACCCACAGTACATCTTGTTTAAAAGCTTTGGAGGTGGAGAGTCATCTTCCTTTAGAGACTTTCAGTGCCCTGGAGAATAAGGTGGGTGATCAAGTCAGAGTAATATAATGTGGGGTCAAAATAAGCTGAAAGACAATTAGATGGCTTTCTTGAGTGACTTTTAAACTAGTCCTAAAGTTATTGCACCCACATAGTTTGAGCAATGGCAACACCACTGGAATAAGGGTAGCTACCAAGAGACAGTTGTAAGGAAAGTGCTCATTTGGAACTACACATTCTCTGTGATTGTCAACAGATTACTAATTTAACTGTCATATATGTGTGTAGTACATTGGTATGCACTATAAAGATATATTCAGAAAGTTATATTGCCAAGAATTTGGTTGCTTGATTATGTATTTTATGAGTGCACAATTCTGGTATGATTTAAAAAGCTGTTGAATTCTAGAATATATAATTGAATCAGAAAATTCAATTTTAGGTTAAAATTAGGATTGCCCCATATAATTCCACAGAATTGGTTCTTCACATTCCTTGAAATATGAAAGAATCATACTCAGTTAAGAAATCAAACTTAACCTGTATTCTACTTAGTGAGTATGGTATTTCACTATTACAAAAGCCTCAGCCATCCCTTAGCCTGTGGGTAAGATCTAACCTGTGAACTAAATAAGACACCTGTCATTTTTAGTAGTTGATTATAAATAATAGACCATATATATATATACATACTATAACCATTATGTACTGTTGTAAGTCAATAACATGATACTTACCATACAAAATACAGAATCATGAAACTCCTAACCCAGTGAATTTAAACTCTTGTAATATTCAAGACCAGAATATCGGAAAGGGAGTACCAAGACACCCAAGAAAAAGAACTGGGGGAGGGAGAGGTAGATCTTGGGGCTTTTGAATTACAATTAATTGAATTCATTTGAGGGAAGGATTTACAATTGCTTTCCAGAAACCACCAGCAAACAATTTAAAATTTGAGGAAATAATTCAAATTCAATTCCAGCTGAGACTATGTGGAGAACCAAGAAAAGCAGAAAGAATGTAATTAGCTGAGTAGGAATTTTTCTAAGAGTTCAGGTCTAATACCTTTAGTATTACATAGAGGGCCATGGGATCATTAGTGATTAGCAGGAATCCAGACCATAATGATCTGGGAAGATCAAGGCCAATGGACAAAGATGAAAGAGCTTTCCTGCTTAAACTGAATGTTGTAAATGCTGACGCTCTTACATAGGGAAGGTCAGCTGGCAGACAAAGAAATAGGGCAGCAGTCCCAAAGCAACAAGTACATTCCCCTCTTTAGCTCCAGAGTTAGATTGGATATGGAGATTAACCAAGTTTGAGCTGAGACAAAAAGAATGTCTTCATTTCAGCCACTTCTAAGGTCTGGAACTTTGAGTCCTGACTGCTTGATGAGCTTGATTATTGCCCCAAATTGGGGAAGGAAACCTGCTGGGTCCTGCATACCAGGGTTGCACAACTAACTAAAAGGTCAATGAACAAGGCAGACAGACCCAATTCTAGATATTTTCTGGGAAAACCCCCTGGATTGTTTGCCCATTAGGTAGACAAAGTTACTCCTAAAAGTTGTTAGGAGTACAAGGGAGTATCAGGTACCCAGTAGACCCTCCGTAAATAATGACAATTGTAGTAAGACAAGTGATAGTGATTTTAGCCTTTCTTTTGAAATGTATAGCCTAACCATCATTACTGCCCATCTTCTATAGATTTAAGAGTCACATTAAATATTGCATTTTGGGTATGGTGTTTATAGCTTCAGGAGGGAGGCAAGGGGAGTTCTCAGTGTGGCCCAGGTAGTTGTAATAGAAGTCTGGTGTGTGTAGCTTGAAGCCCATCTCTTTCAGATAGAGAGGTTCCTGTCTTTAGATTTATAAAATTCACATGTAGCTCCAGAGTATAGAAAAGGTAGGGAATTGCCCTGAGAATTGGGAAGTCTCATGATGGGGTACAAAGTTCCTATCATGTGGTAGAAAGAGTCCTGGACCAGGAGCAAGTCTAGGCTTACCAGGTACCAATTGTTTACTTGAAAATTTTATAATAGTTTTCCTCATAGACAAAATGTATATAATAGTAACACCCACTAAGTTTACCTCACAAGGTAGTTTGGAGCCTCATCTGAGATGAAGTAAATGAAAGGACTTGGTGTATTAAGTGCTATGCATGTGCAGGACTTTGTGTACTGCAACACAGATTGTGTAGGTGAAGGTAAGGGTTGTAGCCCTTGAGCTGTGCAGATATTTTAACCAAAATATAAATGAGGTTGGAAACCTACCAATGGGAACTTGGAAGAATAGCCTAGTTTCAGCATGGATACTAGAGACAAATGAATAATACAGTCATCATTACTGCACTCTCAGATTCATAGTAAGTACCCTGTTGCCACTGAAAGATTTTTTTTTTTTACACTTCCTGAACACCTGTTGCATGTAGAAAAACCTGATGTCTCCCCAAGCCCAAATTTGCAGCATTGGCAATGAAGGGGCAACCTCCTTGTGGAGAACATTGACCAGATTTCTAGGCCTTGATTCTTGTACTCTCAATGGTTCTTCTTTTCTTAGAGATTTCACTAATCCCCACTGCCATGTTCATGTCTTAGAGAAGACAAGAAGCTGGCCTGTGTTCCATATATTGGCGTAACTGGCCAGCAATGAACATTTTTTTTTTTTAAGAATTGTCATTCTTTCCATAGTAGCAACTCATTTCTGCTGCAGATACTCAGGACCCCACACCCTGTGGGCCATTTAAAAAAATTAACACTTTCATTTTCTCCTACTTTCCTCTGTGTATAAAAAAAAGGATGCACGAGGAAGGGCAATTTGCCTCTACCTCAGAGAAACACCTGTACAGATGCAGACAGCATCATTGGCTCCCACCAACATGGGCATGGGTCTTGGAGAGGAGGGGAAGTGAAATGTAGGTGTTCTAAGGTGGTTGTATGCTCATCCTTCCTTCTGTTGAGTTTCAGGATTGAACCTAATGAAGAGTAAAAACAATGCCCCTTGTCTGAAGTCATGGTTAAAAGGTGTTTTCTGGAGGTTTGTTGAGTATCCTCTATACAGTGACACTTCATAAATTCCCATTGTGTGAGGCACATGTATGTAAGCCAGTACAATGTAGTGGTAAAGGAAAAGAGGCATCCAGTTCCAGGAGTGTGTATTTGAATATCAGATCTGCTACCTACTGGTTGAGTGGCTTGGGCAAATTTCTTAATATCTCTGAGTCTCAGTTTCTTTATCTGCAAAATAGCAACAACAATATCCACTTCTAGGGGTCATTGTGCATGAGGTGAGTGCTTAACAAATGGGAGTTACAATACTAGGCTCTGGAGAGTGAGGGAGGAATATAAAGAAATATAAGGCAAATTTCCATCTTCAAGGATCTTACAGTCTAGTTTAAGGGACTGAATAAAAAGAAAACTGGCAATATGGGGCAGGAAATGGGAAGGCCGAGTGCTATAGATAGTGAGTTCAGGAGCTTGCCAAGGATTAGGAGGATGGCCAAAGGTTTCAAAACAGGTGAGAATTTCTCTCCGGATTTCCAGGTGAGGTAGGATTTAGATACGGAGAGTGGGATTGAGAAAGCATCCCAGAAAGCAAGGGGCAGGAGGGATCAGAACCCACAGCACACAGTCCAGCAGGGGTGCCAGTATCCCAGAGTGGAAAGTATAACAGCTTTTGAGCCACACAGATAAGCCTAAGAATCCTAGCTCTGCCCTGAGATCTTAGCTGGACGAATACTTTAACTTCTTTAGCCACCATTTCTATAGCCTTAAAATAGGTGCAATTATACCCATTTCTTAAATTGAAGAATCAAGTGTTTGTAATGCTTAACATGGTACCTGGCACCTTCAGTTAAATAAAGATGTGATGGTGACAAAGAGAGAGCTAGTCTGCCTGAAGAGCTGTCTTGCCTTGTGTACGCAAGTAGTAGAAAACAAACCAGGAAAGGCTAATTAGTGCCTATGGGGTGGGTGGAGAGAAGGCTCGAAAGCCAATTTAAAGAGCTGGGCTGTTACAGGCAATCAGAGCTATCAAGGCTTTGCTAGGGGGTTAAGATAGTTCATCTTAAGGCACTCTGAAGGCTGCACTGGAGGAAGGAGGGAACTGGCCCGCCCATTCATGTGTAAGGTGATCAGGGTCTAGATTAGGACTGGGGCAGAATTATCAGACCTGGTTGATGTGGTCTTTTAAAGTTTCTTTCATAAATATAATTTAGGGCTCAGCAGTGTGAAGTGAGGGGGAACTTTTGTTGTTGTTTTATTTGTAGATTCCTAATATTTAGTGTCAGTTGTCCAGAATAAAACTAGGGTAGACTTACAACTTTGGGAAATTGAGCTCATTCAGTATCCAGGGATAATAAAAGATGGGAAGAAACTCTAATGTTCAATAAGCTCTAAAACTTATTTCAACTTATAAGAAATCCCTTTTTAAAAGCCCCTTCCCCCTTCCTGTTGTTAATGCAGATCGAGTGTGTGCTGTCAGGAAGACAAAAGTATAGATCATTTATTTGAGGTTAGGATTGTAATACCAAGAGGCATTGGGGTACATGGGGAGGATGCTACCAGCAAAATGATAATTTTGATGACTTTATTTGTTTGGTGACAGTAATTTGGATGAGAAAATTGTGTCCTCTCACTGGATTTTAGAAGTGATTTAATTAAAAACATAAACCTAGAAAATAGTTCTGGATACTAGGAGTTCATTTATAATGTCTCATATTCTTCTCCTACCTCTCTTTTCTATCTCTAGTAGTTTGGTTATGGGAAAATACATGTCAGATAATTGTATTTCTAAAGAAAATCACACTGATTATATGGACACCAGTTTTTAAAATGTTAGAAAATCCTCACTGTGGTAGGCCTTAAACATATTAAGTGGGAAAGGATAACTGGCCTACTACCGATTTCCTGAACTTGGCTGTTCTCTCATTTGGCTGCAAGGGCAACAGCGCGCTAATACCTCTGGGGTGCCTGAATAGTGCATGCTTCTCTGGGAAGGAAGATGCACATGAAAGGGGATTGCTCAGTGGTTGATAAACACAGAAAGAAGATAAGTGACAAAAGAAAAGGTAGGCCCTGTGAGGTTAGAGGCAAAGCAAGCTGGCCTAGTCCTGGTGCCTCTGAGCAGGGGCAAGGAGTATATTTCATTTCTCATCTCCTGAGTTTATTTAAATCATTTGCTGCTGGGGCAGGGGTGGGTGGATGGAGGAAGGAATGAAAGCATGATGTTATGAAGCTGATTAAGATGCAAACATACTGTTTATATCCAGCTCCTGACACTCTTCACTCCAGCCAGTAAACAGAAGACTGCAAAAGAAACCTGATCCAAAGGGAGGGGAGAAAACAAGTCATCTCTCTACATTTTAATGAAAGATTTTATGAATATATATTGTTTTTGGATTTCTGGTATACTTGCCACTCTAACAGATGATCCAAACTAGCCTCTGGCTGAAGCCCTGGCCAGGGGTTTTGGACCAGGGGCAGGTGGCATTGGCAAGAGGGTATTCAGGGGGCTACTGGCATTAATTTTGCTGAAAGGACCTCATCAGCAACCAAGCCTCCTCCTGCTATGGTTGGTGGGCCTTGGAGGGGGCCTCCATGCGGATTTCAGCCTTGCTCCCTCCTGCAACCTCTCTGCCTTCTGCTTTTGCATTAGGACCTCTCTTTCTCTCTTCCCCCTCTTTTCAATTAAATGAATTAATTACCACACATTTAACTTTTTGCCAGACTCTTTCATTACGCCCAGAGTTGTTGCTGAGTGGCAAAGGGAAGTAATAACATTCGCAGTGAGGGGCAAATCCTGTTAATGAACAAATTAAAGTTCAAACAGTGATTCAAGTTCACAACCTCTCCCTGGCTCTTCTCTTTAATAAGAGTTATACATGTTACTTTCCTCGCTCTTTTCTCCCTTTTATTACTTTTTAAGCTTTTCATCAACACTGCCGGAGCATATTTGAGGCTCCCAACCTTTCAGCCCTGACAAGGACTCGAGCAGTTATAATCCCATCTTAATTTGGCAACTTTTGTAAAACACATAAAGGGCCCAGGGTCACCTTTGGTCGCCAGGGCCCCGGGTGACCCTATAGCTTCCATCTCCCGCCAGGGCTGCGTGGGCCGCTCTTCTCAGTATTCATCCACCTCTGGCAGCCAGGATCAGAAGACCCAACTTCCGGCTCTGGGCACGGCCAAGCAGGACGGGTCCACGAGTGTTCAAGCCTTGCTCCTGTCTGTTCCCTCTCCAGCCATCCTCTACCAGCAGCGCTCTGGGGGGAAGAGAACAGGGAGAGGGGAGCCTCCAGACCAAAAGCTGGGAACCTTTATGGGGCAAGGGGTTTGCAGTAGGACGGATGCGCAATCCTTCTCCCCACCTCCTCTGCCAGGTGCTGCTCGCCCCCGCCCCACTGGGGGCGCCTCGCCACTCCAAGCGCAGGAAGCCCAAGCCTCCTTAGCCTGACACTAGCGGAACCCCAGCATGCTGGGAAGAGCTCCGGAGAGGGTCCGGTGTCCGCCTACTTCTCTTTCCCCTTCTATGTTTTTTTTTTTTTTGTACTGTGGATTGCGTGGGGGTCTTTTCCACCTCCGTGCCTGGCTTCTCACCACTATCCCCCCGGGCATGGCTAGATATAATCACCATGACAACTGCAATCTATGAGCATACACATAATAGAGATGAAATAGACAAAAGATTAGCATGCCATGAAAAGTACAATAAGTTTCTTATTTAGCATTTAGATAACTGTCTTTCCTTCGGAGCAAGCTTCAAAGTTGAAGCCAGTTTAGACCAAGAGGATTAATTCTTTCTCCTGCATGCTTCATTGAATCTCTCATTACCAAACTTTGTCTGTATTGATGTAAGATTTGATTGAAGATTAGAGCATTTAGCAAATCTTGCTTTTCTGCATGTATCACGTCCTTTCAAGCACGGATCGCGGTGCCCAGTGGTCAATACCCTTACTTTTATCCAGTGTCTGCTTCATTTAAACTTAATCAACTCCATCAATGAACTGGAACAGGGAAACGTCCCTGCGGTAAGAATGTTGTGCTTTTGTGGGATAATTCTTTGCTCTTTCTCGATCTGTTGGCGTTAAACCTAAAATTGCACTATGATGAACTTTTTTTTTTAATCAATATGATAATGACAATTGGGCCTGAACGCTCTGGTAGGACTTAGAGTAGAGCGGGATCTGGCCCCCATTACCAAAACAACTTCTCATCCTGAGATAGTCCGACTCCTTTTGTGTGGCTTTAATACCTTTTCTTCCCTGACATTGAATATTGCTCAAGCTGGAAAATGATGCATCTTTGTAGGAAAGGCTCGTATGTCACAGCCAGAAAGTGAAGCAGACCGATTGGTTGTGTGAATTATCTGACTTGCTGCAGTGAATTATTTGCACTGTTTCCCTACCTAGTCAACAAGTTCCTGAGGTATAGTAGAGATCAATCAAAACTGACAGCCTGTGTGTGAAGGCTTTACTGTGTAAATCTGGCGCACTCATCCTGGCCATGCCGGCCCTGGCATCTGTATATCATTTTTATACTGCTACCAGTAGAGCAATTTCAAAAGTATTTGCAAGGAAAATGCGTGTCCCCATCTGTTCCTGGAAGCATAAATGTGCCACCTTCAGAGGGTTTTCACTGGTAATCATATCTTTAATGATCAACAGACTAGTGATATATACCTTTCCATAAAATGGGGTTTTCTTCACTTTATTGTGATTGGCTAGAATAAATAGCTTTTCCATATGTTAGGGAGATAAAATATAAGATTAGGAGAGGTTGTTTTGTTGGATAGTAAACAAAAGAAACAATTCATTCCAAATAATCTTTGAAAAGAAGCAACGACAAAATTAAGTTGCAATAACAGAGTATCTGAGGCCCCCACATCAGGAAACAGACCTTGTTCCTCCTTGGAAAAGTTGCCGTTTAAGAGCAGAAGCTTAGAGTCTTCTAGGGTACTCTGGTGACTTATTCTCAGCCAGGGGAGGGAGAAGGGTAGGGGAGGGAAGGAAAGGCTGGAATAATACTTGTTTGTTCTACTTCTATTGTAGGGTCCTGGTATTTCCTTTCTCTTATTTTACCTACTATTTGGCCATCTCCACTGTAGCACCCTGGGCAAATTTCCCCAGTGGGGAAAAATGCCACCCTGCTGAATTTCTCTTCAGGCCTTTCAGAGGAGAGGGGAGTTGTTTACATAGTTTAAAATAAAGGTTGGCTTCCTCCAGCCAGAGATTTCTCTCTTCTGACAGAAAAGGGAGAGTTTGGGAGGGTGAAGCAGAGTTCTCAGCTTTACTTTGAAATTCCGAACCCTAGGGAAAGGAACCTGGAGATAGCCACACGGACCCTCCAGAGAACCCTCAGGAAGTGTTCTTAGTCATCTAATCCCACCTGTGTAGGTCGCAGCGGCAGATACAATCAGGCCCTGACCACCATCCCCCCTCCTCCCACATACCAACGCAGGCTCTGACTCTAGGCACTCAGTGCCAACAGCCCTTTTTCTCAGATGCAGCCATTTTCAGTTCTACCTAGCCATCTTGGTGAAATTGGGAAGTTTCTCCTCCAAGATTCCAACCCCAAATGTTTCAAGGCAGCAACTGCCTGCTTAGGAGACTCCAATTCTATTTTGTTCCCAAGGGTAGCAAGAGCACCTCCTGTTCCAAGAAAGACTGACATTTGCTGCAGGACACCAGAATCTGAATAATGTCCTCAGCCTTTGCACTCTCTAGAAAATAACTTGTGAGCTATGCGGACCTGTTCCCCAAAAGTCAGGAATTGAGAATGGGAGGGGAAGTTTCTTTCTAAACTTCAAGAACAGAACCTGTTAGTGGGTTATGTATTCTTTCCTATTATGTGTCACCAACTTCTTTTTTCCTTGGGATAATGGGAAGAAAGCCACATCTTTTCTGTATATCCTGTCCCCTTTTCCCCAATGTTCCACAGAATACTTTGCTCTACTCAAATGCCTGATGCTGTCATCGCAGCAGGAGTGTGTGAGTGCTAGTTTCAAAGTGGGAAATGTGGTCTGTAGGCAGGTCCCAAGAAGAAAGTCTTCATTAGTATTTAGACTTAATACGTGTTAATTTCCTGGCTTCATTGAGGCTTGGGAATAACTGACTGGACAGTAGAAAAACATTTCATGGCCAGAAAAAAAAATGAGTAAGAAAAAGAGCAAGGAAAGATTTTTCTTTTTAAATTTCCCCTTAATTTTAGAAACATAATCTTATAGGCGGGTTGCACATAGGCAGTCATAGACTTACAAGTAGATCACACTTTGACCTGAAAGCAGATTTACTAAAGTATTGCAATTAAGACTTAAAAAAGGGAAGTCAATTTGTGGTTTCCACATCTTGTGTGATGCATTGCAGGTCTTCAGTGAATTTGCTTGTCACAAGGAAATTCTTGCATGTGTTGGATATGAAACATGATTTGTACATACTCAATTTTTCCTGATTTCTATATATTTAAATTTGATACCCATTGTGTATAGAATTTCTGTGTCATTTGTTTTCATAAAGTGAAAAGAAGTAAAACCTCACCGACTGGTTTTGTATGGGAGAGATAAAATCTGTAACATTTCCTCCTTCTCTTGTCCAGGAGGATGAAGCTGTCACTACTACAGTTGGGACCATTTCACACTCTGTGCTCTCATGCTGTGCCTGGGGGTCCTGTCTAACCCACAAGCCTTTGCCAGGAATACTGGCATCCACACTGGAGTGGAAGACAACTTCGAAGCTTGAAGTTCGCCTTTGAGGCTCATGTTGGCTGAGGTTCTGAACCATAGAACTGCAGGCATCCAAGGATCGTCCCAGTCACCCAGGTTTTCCTAAATCCTAGATTGAAGCCACTTGCAGTACAGAGTTGTTTGCTGCTTCAAAACGATAGACCCTGTATGCATGCCCATCCATCGCAGAGATGGACATCTTGCCAACTACAGGACAAGGATTGAGAATTTAAAAAACAAACACTCCGCATTCAGAGTGAAAATGACCTATGCCGTCAATACTGTCTCTTTTCCTCCAAGAGTTTCCCTGCCAACCGAACAATCTCAGTCAGTCAGTGCTTATTTCACTGAAAATGTACTTAATCTCAGATAAGCTACTAAAATATCTGTAAGAATACGATTTGTTAACCAATTTTTTGAAATTCCTTCAAAAATTTTTTGAAATTTCCTTCTCACCCTAGTAGAAAATATTTAACCTGAACTCTAATTCAGATATTTGAAAACATAGTTTAATAAAGTATTAATTTGCAGTACTGCCTCATGATTGTAATACGCATAAGTATGTCATAGTATTTAGTTTTTAGGTGCCCCTTAACAAGGCAGGGATGAACAGAGATGGTATGGTGTGTGCTGGAAAGAAATTCAGTTTTCTGAAGTAAGCTTAAGGAAATGGTTCATTTGGTTAACAAAAATAAATTCAATTGATAGTTAAGGTGAAATGAACCTGTTAAATTTAGCATC